TGGGGGGGGGGGGGTTACAGTCTACCATAAACTGACAATGAGTCAGCAATGTGCCCCTGTTGTTTAAATAAAAATAAAAAAAAGGCCAACAGCATACTGGATTGTATTAACAGCAATGCCAATTGCAAATCAAGAGAATAATTCTTCATTTCTGTTCAGTACTGGCAAGGTCTAACCTAGAATATAGCATGCACTTCTGGCCCCCTTGTCATTCCCCTCCATCCCCTGCCCACCTTCAAGAAAAATGTGGACAGTTTGGAAAGAGCCCAACGTAGAGCAGCAAAAATTATTTGGGACCTGAAAACGAAGATTTATGAAAAAAGGCTGAAAGACCTAGGGTTATTTAGTTTGGAGAAGAAAAGACTAGGGGGCAGGGGAGGGGTTTGATAATAGTCTTCCAATATGTGAAGGGCAGTTACAGAGAGGGTTGAGATGGGATTTTCTCCGTAGCCATGGGGGACAGGACTAGGAACAATGTGCTCAAGCTTCAGCAGGGGAAATTTTTGTTGGGGATTAGGTGGAACTTTCTAGCTGAGGATGGTCAGACATTTGAACACTTCCTAGAGAAGTTGTGGAATCGGCATCCTTGGAAATTTTCAAAAGCAGGTTGGGTAGATAGTTTATTCAAGGGCAATTTTGCCTTGAGCAGAGGGTGAGACCATATGACCTTGTGAGGTCCCTTCAAGTTCTGCTTTCTTATGAACCTAATCCTTCTTACAGTTGAAACCTCTAGTGGAAACTATATTCCTGTAGTTGCTACCCCAATAGGAATTATAACCTTTCTAGTTATATTCAGTATCCCCCTCTTTATAACTCCAAGGATTTCATTAGCCATTTTGGCTACAATGTTTCAACTCATTCTCTTTCACTTCTTTTTCAGAGTCACCGCTTCCCAGGTTAAGTCCCCTCTCCTGTAAGTATAACTTGCAGTATGTGTTGATGTATGATTTTACATTTGGCTATGTTAAAGCACAAATTGTGCTTACTTGTTCCACAAAATCAAGCAGTTCACATAATGAATATTATTACTGATATAAAGCTATTAACATTCTACTAATCTTTGTGCCATCTCTAAACCTTTTAGCTTTAATGATTTTGCTTTCTCCCAAGTCACTGATAAAATAACATTTAAATAGCATAGGACCCAGAATCGGCCCTGTTGGACCCCGTTAGAAATACCCCTTCTGTTGATAATTCCACATTTTCAATCATATTTTGAGACCTACCATGGCATGGTCTTCAGTGATGACTAATTTTTAGGTTAAGACCATAATTTTCAAATATCAGTGGTGAAGCCTAGACAGTTAAAGAGAATACAAATATATGTATGTAAATGTAATGTCCATGTTTTTGAAAAATTTGGATCAAGCCTTCAAATAGATTAAAGCTATATATGTGTAATATACATGTATGTATACCATATTTGTGTACACACAATGACAAAAAAACAAACACCCCACTTTAGTTCTATACACTGACTTTTCATGGCAAAGAATGCACTTCTACTAAGCAAAATGAAAAATGGAGTTCAGACATCTGGAGCACTGTCTCCTTAGATGCTATTGGAACCAACAGATTAATAAGAGTTATGCAGCCTCATCTGTGTCCTGTCCACACAGATATGAGTCTATTACAGCTGCAGAGCCTGAGTGCATCTAGCTTAAATGGTAGAGACTTGTGTGTCTGGAGGGATTTGGACCAGCCCTCAGGTGTACCAACCAAGACAAATACTGTCACACTCCATTTTTATCATCCTCATTGCAGGTGGCTCCTACAAATGAAAAGCCATCAGAGAACGTATTTGAACCCCTTGAGTGTTTGCAGCTTGAGATGCTATTGTCATCTTGCCCATTGCCCAGAAAGCGTGGACAGAGGTGAACAGTGTTGTCTGGCAGCATTGCAGTTCTGTACATTCTTGGGTTCTAGGTGGCCCGATTTTTTTTTTTTTTTGATGGTGCATATCTTTACCCCAAAGACTGTATGGTCCAACCACCCTTGCTTAGTGAGCCAAGTTTGTGTATTGTTCACATGTTCATATTGTAGTGACTTCAGCTATTCTGATGCCCTCTGTCCTAATGGTCACTGCTGGTTATTTACATTCTAACCATCTTATAAATATACTGTAGACTACAAATATGATGATGGAAAATGAAACCTTTTGGATTCAGATTAAATCTATGTATGAATCTGATTCTCTTTAGAACTGGAAGATGCATGCACTCTATTTATAGCATTAAATTAATTGTTCATGATAAAATATGTTTACAAACCACAGTAAGCATAAGATCTGTGAAATGACTCTTTGCTGAGCTCAGTGTCTGTTGACTTAATGCAGAAAGGGAGGCTCCCTTTTGTCTCACCCCATGAAGTTGATGCCTGCAGAATGCAACAGCCCTGGTTTATGTCTCAGCTGCAGCAACATACAGGTTGTATAGAGTACAACTGCCTAAGAAGCATCTTAGCTAAGTGATAAAGTCTGCTTTGGCACCTGACCATTTCTTGGCAGATACAGAAGTCCTTCAGCTAGGTGGTGTTTTGCTAGAAAATGGGTGAATGATTTGAGGATTGATCTGAGCTACATCCTTCCAAATTTAAACTGAACCCCAGAATTTTTAGAAGCTGGAAACTGTTCAATTATATTTCTTTATTGTCTGTTTCACAGCTGCCTCAGCATGTCCAGGTTGCAGCTGGGACCAGACAGAGAAGCACTGAAATGTTCTCAGGAATGCTGATCCAGGGGTATTTCTGTTCTGACCTGAAGTCCTGAAATTTTCACACAAGAGCATGTTCTCAGGAACTTTCTACTCTGATTTCTAGGCTAGAAAGGCACAGAGAAACATCCAGACTTCATGTCTTTATCTGAATTGGGTTTTTAAATTTCTTGAGTAGGGAGGCCTCAGTCAAACCCTACTTTTCTTCTATTTTAACCGAAAGGAAGTCTTCCTCTGGGTAAAAAGGGAGCTAAATTTGCTTATACTGGAAGCTGCTCCCTTAGTTTCTATGGACATTATAATAAACAGTAATGTAAATAGAATAAGTCTGTTTTTTTCCCCATCCAAAACTGGCCAGATAAAGACTGCTTGTCTTTTTAGAAGGTTATGCTCTGTCTCAAGCAGAAGTTGTTGGCTGGATGCTGGAGCTACTTAATAAAATGGTATAGGATGAGTTTATGAAAGAAGTTGGACCAGACAGCCCCTTTGGGCCTTTAAAATCCATGAATCTGCATGCACTGCTTGAGACGCTGTGCCGAGGGTCGGGTTTAGTCTTAGAATAAGCTCACAATTCCAGGGGATATGCTCTCATTAACATTTGGCTTCAGTTTGGTAGGGATGGTAGCACTTGTATGTCTCAGTTGCTGTTTGTCTTCAGGAAACATCTACTAGTTTATTTAAATGACTCATTGTCATTAGCACCTTGTGCAGAGATGAGAGAGAGAATATGTAATTTTGTTACTTTGTTAAAAGTGCACAGGAAATACTGGTCATTATTGTTCCACCTGAGTTCTTTGGAAAATTAGCAGTTCTGAGACTACACTGAATTTATCCCATATTAATTCAGATGAACTCAAAATGATTGCAGTTCTGAACCTATTGTGTTCTTAACTCGGATGGTTTGATTTATTTGTTTTAATCAAATTACTTCCAATTTCTGGCATTAGTTCTAATTCTTTAGTTAAGGTGATTATTAAGGCGTTAGCTTGTTGGCTAAGGTGGTTATAAGTAAGGCTGTGCAAAATGGGACCGTTCCGTTTCAACTTGCATTTCGATGGAACAGCATTTTGTTTCAAATTTCATTTCGATTTGAAACCACTGTTTCGTTTTGTTTCGTCAAAACAGTTTCGCTGTTTTGACATTTCGCCCGTAGGCTATAATGAGGAATCTTAAAACAGCCTATAACTTTGCCATTTCTGGCCTGATTTGAATGAGACTTACCGGAATGGTGGCCCCTTCTGAGGGCATGAAGCCTGCCAAGTTTCAAGGAGACAGGTGTAGGGGTTTGGGGGAAACTACACCTCAAGTTGAGGACAAGCAAAACTCGTGACATGGGTGGGTGACACTGTATGTGTTAAGGCACAGCACGGTGAAAGCTGCAGGCTTGCTAGCCCCTGCTGAGGCCACAAAGTCTGCCAGCTTTCAAGGAGATAGGTGCAGGGGTTTTGGGGAAACTTCACCTCAAGCAAAACTCATGACATGGGTGCTTGTGAGACTGTGTCTGTCCTGGGGCACAGGAGGGTGAAAACTGCAGGCCTGCTAGGCCCTGCTGTGGCCACAAAGCCTGCCAGCTGTCAAGGAGATAGGTGCGGGGGTGGGGGTTGGGTTCTGGGGGCCTGCACCTCTAGCTGCAGACAGGCAAAACTCATGACATTGGTGGGTGACACTGTGTATGTGTTAAGGTGTGCCCTCACTCAACTGACACCAAGGCAGAAAGCAGGGCAGTTCAAACAATGCTGCTTTCTTTGCAGTTTTTCCATCCCTCCCCCAGAGCACTGGGATTGGAAGGGACCTCAGGGAAGGATGACAGTCACTGGCCAGCTTCACAGTCAATAATGAGAGCACTCCTTCCCCCCTCTTCCCCCTCCC